GCCTCCAGCCCCGCCCCCCATCTCCCCGCCGGCTCAGCCTGCACAGCAGGTCGCCGAGTCCGGTCACACGGACATGGGCGCAGGGCCCGCAGGCGCAGACAGGGTAGCAAAGCAGCCACCGAGGTCACGGTCAAGGTTCCCGAACCTCCCTGCGCACCCTCCCTCCCTCCAGCCACCTCCCTATGCGGCCACCCGAACACCATCTGTCCATCAGGCATCCACCCACCCGCCGGTCCCTGGAGCCCCCCCGCGCCCCCGGGGTGTAAACTCCTGCGCCCTCTCCGGCCCCTCCTCACCTGTAGCTCCGTCTGGGCCGAGGCAGGGCCCACGCGGTGCAGGCATCAGGATGGTCCGGAAGTTCAAAGGAATTGGTGGGATTGTTTTGTTCTCTAATTTTTAAAATTGATTTTAGAGCGAGGAAGGGGGAGGGGGAGAGAGAGAGAGAAAGAGACATCCATCAGTTGCCTCCCATACACACCCCAGCCGGGACCAAGCCCACAAGCTGGGCAGGTGCCCTGGCTGGGAATCAAACTGCTGACCGTCTGGTGCCCAGGGCGACGCTCAACCGATAGAGCCCCCGCCGCCGAGCCTCTGCTGTCAGCGCCCTGTAGGATGGATGGACGCCCCTCACAGCCTCCTGGACCACCCTGCCTGCTCCCTAACGCTGCCCCCCGCCATTCTGCAAACAAGCCCTCGCGGGGTGACCTCTGTTCTCTGCTGCTCTGGGCTCTCGTCCCCAAGGGCACGTGGCCCTCCCGTCCTGTCCCCTCGGTGCGGCCACTCTAAGAGCCCCCCTTTCAGAAACACCAGGGGGAGTGGGCACAGCTCCGAGGTGGCGGGCGCACGGCTGGGGGCCTGGTGCAGTGCCCTGGGCACGTCACACTCCATTTCACATGGGCTCTGCTGCGCACTCACTGCTGGGGTGTTGCAGAGGGAAACCGTGTCCTCTCGCCACCAACGCTGTGCCCCGTCGGGCCAGGCCCCTCCCTGCCTGTCTTCCCCCCAAGGCCTACCGCACGTGGGCAGGTGTGTGGGTGAGGATCATGGACCTGGTTGCTAGGTTGTTCTGATGCCTCCTGACAGGGCAGGGCAGGGTCTAGGCCAGAGATTCAATGTCTCTTCAGGATGCGGGAGCCTCACGGGAGCAGGTCCCGGCGCCAGGTATTCCGGTCCCTGTCGGCCCTCCAGCCTCTCACTCACGCAGACACTGCGGCCCAATGGGCTGGTCCTTAGCCGCTGGGTTGGTCTGGGGGGAGCGGGTCTGTAACAAGGACCACAGTGGGCCGCCTACTCTCACCCATTCTTTTTTAAAAAAATATTTTTATTGATTTCAGAGAGGAAGGGAGAGGGAGAGAGAGAGAAACATCAATGAGAGAGAATCATGGATCGGCTGCCTCCTGCACGCCCCCGACTGGGGATGGAGCCCACAACCTGGGCCTATGCCCTGACCCGGAATCGAACCCTGACCTCCTGGCTCATAGGTCGAGGCCCAACCACGGAGCCACGCTGGCGGGTCTCTCCCATTCCGAGGTCAGAAGTCAAGGTGCCCCAGGGCGGGCTCCCTCCCGGCTCCGGACTTTCCTGCCTCCTCCAGCTGCGGTGGCGGCCCTCAGTCCTGGGCTGGCGGCTGCGGCACCTCCACCTCTGTCCTCGTCACATGGCGTCCTCCCTGGTGTCCGTGTCCCAGTTTCCCTCTCCTTAGAAGGTCACCCCGACAGCCTCCTCCCGACTGGATCTGGTCTCATTCCGGGTACCAGGCGTAGGACTCGGTGCAGCAGCGTGGGGGTGGGGTGGGACCCAGCACAGAATGCCCTCCAGCCCCTTTAAGCAGCGACGGACTCCCATGGAGCCGGGGATGGCTCAGATCAGGCTGAGCTTCCGGGAACAGTGCCAGGCCCCCTGCCAGACGGGGCTGCTGCCCCACGGAGCCCGGAGTTCTGTCTCTGCAGCAGGAAGCTGCCATGCCCAGCCCGGGAGGATGC